AGGTTACCTATCTATCGTGCTGCAGGGCGTCCTACACTACGCTGGCCTAAACGCTGTCTCTAGCACGTTTCGGCTCCATCGACCATCAGTATGTCTAGAGACATGACTTCCACTTCAGCGAGCTTATTCTGTGCGCGATGTCGGTTACTTCAGTTTCCTGGCGAATAGCTTCATTTTGAATTCTGTCTGAAAGAGAAACTCAAGGTATTAAATTAAGGTATTAAGGTATTTAACCAGTGCGTCCTACCCGTAATGACATACGGAGCTGAAACGTGGACACTCAGCGTAGGGCTGGTTCACAAATTCAAGGTCGCTCAGCGAGCAATGGAACTACCATACGTCGCTCACTTATTATTTATTAAGCATGTACTTCTTCAATAACATATGTATTTAGTATGAGACACTTGCATTGTCACCGGTAATAATATGTGATTTAAATCTTAACAAGGGTTTATTTTGCTCGATCTTATGGCTCTTCACATTGTTTTACTATGATCTATATAGGTATTCATGTAAAAAAACTAAGATGTTTTTAAATTTGATATATTTAATAGCTTCATTGTCTTACGATTTGAATGGTACACGTTTTCCCAATCCAATCTGTTCTACATGTTGTGTAAAATTTTTTTTCAATAATTTTCGGAACTGCCAAATTTTGGTCTAGTGACTAGTATGTAGGTATGGCTGCAGATCCGAAGGTCCTGGCTTGAAGTCCCGGGTCGGGTCAAGTATTGAGTCTTCCTGTTTAGAAAGTCTCAGGAACAACCCGGAGTTGGGAAATTGGCGGTGTTTATACCCGTGTCTCGGAGACCACGTAAAGGTCGGTCCTGCGTCTAATTTTTCGTAGGTAGGTAGGTAGGAATAAAGAGTGCACTTGTGTCTGCGTGTTCGTTCACTTGTGCACTGTAATATCTCCTGCGCTGACTAGTCTCAATTAAATTGACCACCACGCCGTGGCCGAAATGGGTTAGGAGGAGGCCAGCACAATACTGACAGATTTTAAAAGTATAAAGTATATTTTAATTTTGAGTTTTGGTATATACATTTTTTCAAAATTATACCTCATTCCAAACTTTCTTATCTATACTGTATATAATAAAACTATAAAGGTCGAATGTTTGTACATAGAAAAAATGTTAAAAACCAAGTCAGGGGGATGTAAAAAGAGAAATAGAACAAATCTATTTTTTTTAATTTTCTTGTTTCTCTGTCTGTTTGTCTGTTTGTACGGGCTAATCTCCGAAACTGTTGGACCGATTTAAATGAAATTTTGTATGGTGATACCTTATCTCCTCGGTCAACATTTTAGATATTTTCATCTCGGAAAATTAAATAAGTCCCGTGGGATAGTTAAAAAACTATAGTAACTTATACAGCTTAGTACACAACAATTTATGCACCTAATTCCCGTGGGATAGATCTGTTTGTCCTTCTCTAGAGGCAAACGCGAGCGAAATGAGGATGAGCCGCTAATTTATAATATGCTTATATTAAGGTATATGTTATTGCTTATATTTATATATTGTATGAGAAAAAAGTGTTTTTAACACCATAACACGGTGTATTAAGTCTAAATTTTGATCTATGCAAGATCAGGCATCAGATTTACACCATTCAGAGTTTAGAGAGAGAGAGAGTTTTACAAGAAATTTCGCTTAACTGCTGACGTTGATAAGTTAATTATATCATTTCTTAAAACTGCCAATATTACTGAGTTAATGATAACTATGTAATCGTAAACATTTATCATCAGGTCAATTAACAAACCTCATTAACATTATTATCTTTCTTTAAACGTGATATATTAAACCAATTAAAACGAAAAGTTTCTTTTGGAAAAGTTTTTTTTTATTTAAAAACTATCAATGTATCCTCGGTTTGCTCGGTTCGTCCCTAGGTGCGTAAATAACCCCACAAAATCCCATCCAAACTTCATACAAGCTTTCGCATTCATAAATTAATAGAGACTCACCCTCGCTTCGCTCGGGTTCATCCCTGGATTGCTTCCCCATACAAACTTTCATCCCCATTTTCGCCCCGTTAAGGGATGATTTCCGGGATAAAAACTATCCTAAATCCTTCCCAGTCTAAAACTATCTTCTTACTTCTAAATCGGTTCAGTAGTTTCGGGGTTTATTTGGTACAAACAAACAAACATATAGACTAGCGACCTACTCTCGGACTCACTCTTCTCACTCCTCGCCTCACTCGGGACTACTCACTCGAGTGAGTTTGAGAACGCATGAAAGAACGTCCAAATAAAAATTCTATTTTTGTGCCACAAACCTTCGCAGGCGTTTCATCACAATCGGATAAATGGTTTAGGAACGCATTGGGACAAACATACGAACATTCATATTAATTTATAAAATTAGTACAATACGTGAGCTTTTGGTGAATTTTATGGATTTTTAGTTAGCTGGAAGCATCCGAGTGAAGTTGGAGTAAGTATTTAATACGTCATAAAATACAAAAAGATTTTTTTAAACCGGACTGGTTTTTTAAATAAGTTTTCTCTTTACATTTTGTCACGGATTTACGTTGATTTTTGGTTCCCGACTATATTATTACTTTTTAATTAATATATGTGGTAATAGTGTTGCATAATATTTTAATTTTAAATAATAGCTAAGCAAAATATTTCTTAATTTTTAACGTTTTTATTATTTTAAAAATAGGCACTAATATGAAATAAATAATACTTAATATGCAATTATAAAAGTAATTAAAATTATAAAAGTAATTAAAATTATAAAAAAAATAATTAAAGTTATCAAATACTAGTGACTCACCCTCGCTTCGTTCGGGTTCTTCCCTAGATCGATTCCCCATACAAACTTTAACCCCCATTTTCACCCCTTTAAAGGATGATTTCCGAGATAAAAAGTATCCTATGTCCTTCCTAGGGTCTCAAACTATCTTCTTACTAAATATCATCTAAGTCGGTTCAGTAGACCCAGAGATTACCCCCTACATTATCACAAACTCACAATTCACAAACACAAACTTTACCTCTTTTTATTGTACTTTTTTAAATTATTGTATAAATAATTGTCCATTACTGATAAAGCATTCAAAAACGTCAGAAGCGAAAAACTTAATAAATCCGCTAATAAATCCGAAAAAATCGTTTTACTTAAAATGTCAAATATTCGCGTAAATCTAAGAAAGTATTTTTGGTCTGGTATTTTCGGATATTAGCGCGTTTCAACACACAAAAAATCTCTTCAACATCAATTTTATACTATAAAGTATTTTATATTTCATAAAAAATATCATATATCTGGCTTAAGCATTACATAATGAACATTCCGTCTGAAAACTAAATTGGTCTTATAATAGGTACATGATATGGCAATTTTTCTATCGGAAGTCGTAAGTGCTTAAGTGCATGCTACATACTTATAATAGTTTATCTTTTTATATGAATTGTTACCCGTTTCTTCCTATTTTATAAGGTAAAGTTAGATATATGTTTATATCAAACTAGTGATTTACCCTCTCATCTCTCAGGTGCGTCCCTATACGTCTTAAATATATGTATATGAATATTTTAAATACAATTATCTTTTTAACAGACAATTGTAACAACTATATACTTGTAATACCTTTGAGACATCTAATACCTTAGTCTCTCCCGTGACCATGATTGCTGTAATGCATTTGAAACGTCGGGAACCAAAAACCCAAATAAATCCAAAAAAAAACCGAAAAGATAGTTTTATTTAAAACTAGCATTGCCCGCGGCTTTTCGTTCAGATGACCGAAAACCAAATTCTTAGGTTTTACATATTAGTATACACTCTTACATTGCAGTTTTTGTATTTTTTCTCAGAAATGAGATATTTTCCCGCGGTAAAATGTATCCTATATGTTGACCTGAATAGCCAGCCATCACCATACCAAATTTCATCAAAATCCCTCCAGTGGTTTTGTGTACTGTGATACGGTAACAGACAGACAATTCTAAAAACTATAGATTCGGCCTCTTCTGATTCTCGGAATTTTCTGTGATGAAATCTGTCCAGTGGTTTTCTGGAGAGAAAGGCAAATGAACAAAAAAATCTATAAACTATAGATTCGGACTCGATAATAATGACTGTTTCGATAAGATTTTCCGAAAAATATTTAACGTACAGATTTTGCTCAGTTAGAATTTCATTATACGAGTATATATAGATGTCAGATATTCGCGTAATTCTAAGAAAGTATGATAACTTAAATATATACTATACATATAAAACAAAATACTGTAGCGATAATAGATTTGAAAAAAATATATAAGTAATTGTCTTTAATTTTTGATATTATGAAAATTACTTGGATGCTTTGTGGAAGTAATTTATTTCAACAGCTGTTACAACAAGTATTATTCAACATATTAAAGTAAATAAAGTATATACATATAAGTATCTGAAACACGTAATTAATTTACAATTTTAGACCGAATTCAAAGAGGAAGTTTATCCTATAAGGGGGTAAAATAGAGAATGAATATTTGTATAAAACTAACTTTTTAGATATTTTTTTGTAGTTTTAGCGCGAGCGAAGCTGCGGACTGCTGGGCACGGGCCTCTTCAATATGACGATCAGATCATAGTCCACCACTTTTCAAACCTATTATCGTTAAACTCGATTTCCCAAGCGAACACGTTACCACTGGACTACCAGTCCTACGCTACATATTAAATACGTAGTTTTTACAAATTATAGACTTGCACAAAGTTAATTAAAGCAACGCTGTTATCAATCGACTAATTACCGAAACAATTAATTAACGATTTAAATAATATATTATTAATAATATAAAACTAAGTCATAGTAGATTTGTAAGATTGCAATACGTCAGTATTTTTGAGTGCAGTGTGTAATAAAAATTGAAATAGTGTAAAATAGTACTTAAAAGCGGTTTTACTGATAGATTTCATGCATGTGTTTACGATTACAGTAATAAAACGGTGACTCGTACATACGATTTAGTTATCGTGATCGTTTCAGGTATGAAGAAATTTTTTTATATTTTCCGCGAAGGCAGTCAAGTGAACCAGATATTATGTGCTTTTTTAAGTAAGTATTTATTGTATAATTTCTTTATTATGTTAATAAATGAGTTACTAATATTAAAATTGCTAAAGTATGTTGATTGTCATACTTTTACGCAGCAACAGTGTTGTAAATCTACAATTCTTAAAAATGTCTTGTTATATCTCGTCTTGGATACGGCGACCAAACCGATGTAAATCGTGTAAAATATGCAAAATCAAGGAAAAATCCGTTCTAGTAAATATTTTTGAGGAAAATATTGTATTTGGTCTTATGGCCTACCATTTTTTTATGTATTCTTCTTTCATTTTGCAGTTTGTATCCCTATTTACGGATACGGTACATGTATAGGATGGATGTCACCGATGACACTTCTCTTACAGTCAAAGGAGTCTCCAAAAGGCGTGCCACTTACTGATGTTGAGGTGAGTATCTCAGTTGGCTCAGTTTGTAGTGACCCTACTTGATCTGCCAGCGGTCGCGGGTTCGAGTCCCGCTGGGGGCATTCATTTGTGTGATGAACACGATTTTTTGTACTCCAGTCATGGGTGTTTATATTTATAATATGTATGTATTTAAAGTTATATATGTATAGTGTATCAACTATCTGGTATCCATAACACAAGCTTCGTAGCTTACCATGGAACTAGACGGTGTTGTGTGTTAATGTCCCGACATATTTATTATTATTTATTTAGTTATCGTTAACTATAAGCAAATCCACATATCAATGCAATATGAAAGACCAAGACGTGCAGTCAAAACTATTTTTTTGTTAAAAGTTATTTTACTTATGTATTTCGTTACTGTACTCAATTGAGTACATCAAAGTTCATACAATTGTAGTTTTATAAAACTTAGAAATATTTGATTAAATTGATGCTTATAACATATATACATCGGTATATATTATATGCCAATGATATGTAAAAACAAATTATTAATCAGTAATTACTAAAACATTTTGGAACTAGCTTTCTTACCTGCTTCATATTTTCAAGACACGATTTTAACTGATATATTTATCGAAAAAATCACACTACCCGCATAATATTTGTATATAACTTCGACTAATGTTGTAACGATTCACCTTTCAAACAAAAAAAATAAAATCAAAATCGGTTCATCCGTTCGGGAGCTACGATGCTACAGACAGACACACACACGTAGACACGTTAAACTTATAATACCCCGTCGTTTTTGCGTTGGGTGTTAATGAAGTAAAATAACAAGGCAACGATCGTCAACTGTTTCAAATTTATAATCTACCCTTAAGAATATAGCTGTACTCACACGAGAGTACATTGACCTGTTAATCCCTCTACGACCGCGGACACGCCGGCGTATCAGTTAACAATAGATTTCTCAGAATTTTAAATAATTTCTTAGAAATTTACCTGGAGGTGTTAATCGGATATATGATAATCAGGAAAATTAAAAAAAAACATTTTTTCATTTTGCAGATATCCTGGATGGCATCTTTGCCATACATAGTGTGTGTACCGGCGACGTACTTAGTAGCGTCTCTAGGAGACAGATATGGGAGGAAATTCGCTCTTCTCTTCATGACTGTAGTGAATGCGGTAAATAAAATTTTATATTCAAATGAAAATCCATATAAAGCTTTTTTGTATATTATATACGCTTATACACACAAGTGTATAATCTCTGGTACTTTTGTATTCTGACAGATTGTAAAAGTAGTTTCACGTATAGAAAATTATATGGTAACATAATAATATTATAAGTGCTAAAGGCTTTTCATACAAATATCTTTAAGTCTCTTCGGTTATTTTAAAGATCTTGGCATTCTATACATTAAAAAGTTGTTAAAAAATTGTCGATTCCTGTATCATAGAACAGTAATAATTTCTATTAATTACCTAGTAATAATAAGGCATTATTTTTTGTAACTTTTATTTCTTGATAACCTGACTGAATAATTTACTAAACTTATTCAGTAGGTTTAAGAGTAACATTCCATATAATTTATTTATTATTAAGTATTTCTTAATAATTCTTCATCCGCCATCTCTCCTAATTTGTAATCTAATTCCTTCTCAAGTTAGTAGGTACTACATATTTATATATATATATATCATAATATGATAATCTTTAGATTGTTAATGTGTGCTATTGATTATTCAGGCCATTTGGATACTGAAACTGTCTTCAATGAACATATGGGTTTTTATAACAGCAAGAATTTTAGTGGGAATCGTAATGGCTGGAAGCTGCGTTACTTGTCCCACATATATAAAGGAAATAAGCGAAGATAATATAAGAGGAGCTTTAGGATGTTGGGTGAGGACTTAAAATTACTCTATTAATAAGAAAGATACCTATTTCGAATTTTTAGTAGCTATTGACAGCTTTAGTTTTCTCTACATATAATAAAATTGTAACTAGGACGAATCTGTACATCATTTTGTTTGGAAAATCTTATTGAAATAAACATTATTATCGATACAGAGGCCGAATCTATAGTTTTTAGAATTTTTGTCTGTTTGTCTGTTACCGCATCACAGAAAAACTACTGGACGGATTTTGATGAAATTTGGTATGGTGATAGCTGGTTATCTGGGTCAACATATAGGATACTTTTTACCGCGGTAAAATATCTCATTTCTGAGAAAAAATACAAAAACTGCAATGTAAGAGTATACTAACATGTAAAACCTAAGAATTTGGTTTTTGGTCATCTGAAGGCGGGCGGAGCCGCGGGCAATGCAATAGCATAAAAAATAAAACAATAGTTTTTATGTAATGATTGTGCTCGAATTGCTGCGACCACTAGGTGAACACTAGTTTTACTAAATACACTTTAACTTAACACCTTCAGGTAAATTTCTAAGAAATTAATTTAAATTCTAAGAAATCTATTGTTAACTGATACGCCGGCGTGTCCGCGGTCGTGGAGGAATTAAGAGTATAAATTTACATATAAATTTTAAGAGAAATCTTTCCTAAAAACGTGATAAGATTATCCTAGACTCAAAGACCAAAAAATAAAAAAAAATGATCTTGACCCTTAATAATGAGGCTTATTTCTTGTTTTTTTATAAAGTGATTCTTTTATTATTTAAACTGCTAGCGGCTCACCCTCGCATCGCATGGGGTCGCCTCTAGAAAACAAAAATAAATTTATCCCACGGGAACCGTACATTTTTCTGAGATAAAAAGTAACCTATGTGCTATTCTAGACTATAATCTATCTCTGTGTCAAATTTCATCAAGATCCATTCAGCCGTTCTGACGTGATTGAATAACAAACATCCATCCAAACATCTAAACTTTCACATTTATAATATTAGTAAGATAACACATTCTATGTTATTAATTCCTTATTACACGTTATCTGTTATTTAAGTCTTTGGTATATTAATTTTTTTTTGTTGTATTTTTTTTCAGGGAGCACTGTTCTTTACAACGGGTAGCTTATCGGCCTACATAATTGGGGATCTATTAAGTTACCAAACAATCTTGATAGTGTTCCTAGCCGTACCTTTGGTACACTTCATAATATTTTTAATTATGCCTGAATCTCCATCTTATCTTATTAAAAAAGGAAAGACTGAAGTAAGTTTGATTCATTCCTCTCCCCCATTAGTGAAAATCGATTAAACCGTTATATATCTTACGGGAAAGCTCTTTTCTATATTAAATATCCCATATCTTTTCGCCTCAATTCTGTATAAGCTGATGAAAGTCCTGTAGAAATCAGTTTACCTTTTACGGAGATAAGCGGCTACAAGCAGACAAACAGACAAAAAAATAGGCAAATTTATTAACAATCGATAAGGCTATGCCACTTAAACAACATCAATTATTTCTAAAGTAGAAATAAATTGAAGAAATGATGAAAGAAATAATATATGAAATTATATGATTATTTGGCAAAATACATTATACAAAAAATACTTCATTTTGTTTAAAGTAATTAATTAAACATAAATTGTAGGAAGCTGCAAAGGCACTGGTTTGGCTCCGATGCAGACACGAATTTGATCACAAAATCCAAGAAGAGATAGATTTTATGAGAAAAGAACAAAAGAATGATGAAGGAAAGGAGAAGTTTTTGTTGAAAACAATTTGTAAGTACTTTTAAAATACATAATATATTAAAAATAATGAAATAGTAAAATAATTTTCAAAATTACTTTTATTAAATAGGCTGAAGTAACGATCTTGGATGATATTTACTGATTTTTTAAACGCTCAACGACTTATAAGCTTTCTTTATTCATTCTATCATCATGGTTTATTGTACGCCCCAAATAGCTTATGGAAATAAAAAATATTATATAAAATTCGTACTTTCCAAGAAAAAAAAATCATCAATGAAAAACGATTAAATAAAAAAACTATTCTGAATAAAAAAATGTAGATTCTCAAACACAATATTTTAGATTTTACATTTCAATTTTTCAGTGACCGACAAGATCCTATTTCGAGCTTTTCAAATATCACTTATGGCTGCATTAGCTAGAGAGCTTTGTGGAGTTGTACCAGTTCTTAATTTCGCTGGTGATATATTCCGATCTGCAGCGGAAGTCACAGGCTTGGTTCTCACTCCAAACCAACAAGCTATGGTACTCGGAGTAGTACAGCTATGTGGTGCCACCACGGCATCAGGCATAGTCGACAGATGTGGGAGAAGGGTAAGTAGATTTAATAGTGATCAATAATAACGTCATAAATGCAAAATGGTTTTTTGTAAATTACTATCTGTGTAAAAGATAGTAAAAAATATTTATTAAATGATGTGTCAGAATTTGATATATGATGAAAAATATTATGGTAAAAGCAAATATTAGTCCAAAGCTCAATAAGTGATTTATTCGAGTGATTTTACTTCGCTTTTTCTCTGCTTGGGCATATCTCCAAATAACATTCTGCGACAGACTAATATTCTAATGAAACTAATGTATGTACTGGACTAAAAAATCTCTTAATATCGCTGCGTAAAACAAAAGAGCAACTAACAAACCAACACACATTTTTGCAGTAATAATAAAAGTAAAAGGGTTAAAATTATTATCAGTCATTTATTTAAAACAAAATTAAACGATATATTTTTGCAGCCTCTCCTCTTCATAACGTGTATCATCTCTGGGATCAGTATGTGCATTTTAGCCACGTGGTTCCTTCTAACAGAATACAACGTGGGTGTCCCAGCATGGGTACCAGTCCTCACACTATGTGTGTGTATATTCTGTGATGCATCTGGATTGATGCCGATAGCTGTTGTTATAGCTGGCGAAACGTTTTCTTTCAAGGTATTATTTTTTACAAAAACTAACAGCTTTTAAGGTATTTTAAAATTAAGTTCAATTCTACCTAAATAAAATCTAGAAAGACAAATAATCTACTTCTAATATCCGTTGCTAGTATCTTATTTTTTAAAAGACAATACAATAATTATTGCTTCAATCCAGCATATCTGGTAGTTGACTTAAGAGTTATAAATTCGTGTAAATTTTTTGGCTGGTCTGGTGCTTTTGACATGAGTGTGATTGTTTAGTTTCTTAAGCTTTGAATTATTATAGTAGATACTAATGAATAAAGCTGTTAGGTCCGATTAACAAACGGAGTTCCAGTTGCCCACATCTTAAAACAAACCATACCTTCTGTACAATATTCAACCCTCATTAAATTCTTCTTATGGTACTAAATAGTTTTGTTTTGTCGACTTGTTAGAAATACAAAAGGAATTCAAACTTTAAAAGTAAATTTGGAAAAAAAAAACTAAATAATATTTATATAAAATTTCAGTACCGAGGAACAGTGTTGGCAACTACAATGGCTATTGCTTCAACTTCGGACTTCTTCCAACTTCTCTTCTTCAAGCCTTTATCAAATTCTATAGGAGTTTACGTCGCGTTCTACTTCTTTGGAGCCATGTGTCTTCTTACAGCAGTATATGTCATTCTGATGGTACCAGAAACTAAAAACAGGAAACTGGAAGAAATTTACTATGATCTTCAAACGAAAAAGGAGAAGAAGGAACTCAGCCAAATACATTTGTAATTTAAGTACTTGAAGTATCTTTTAAAAGACTGTTTACTAATTGTGTTAGATTAAGAAAAATATATTTAAATCTGATTTTTTTTAAGAATTTTGTTTTGGTCATGTTAATTGTGTTGCTAGATAACTTGGCGAGAAAGACTTAATGCTTAATATTACCTATAATACTGGAAAGCACAATTTGATTCCCATTTTGGGACAAATAATGCATTTACTCTACAGTAATTCCAAGTGTGGTATAGTCAAATATATGATGATGTTAAGAATTGCAAGTTTAATATGTGTCATGGTAAAGTAAAGTAACATCTAAAATATAAAAAAATCTCGTCGTGTAAAAATATCTTACATTATCATAAATTTCAAGAACATTATTTTCAATTTATCGTAGATTTTAAAGTGCCTTTTCTATAAAGGTCTTATTAAAGCTGAGAACAAGAGCCTAAATCTTGTGCCAAATAAAAAGTCAAAACTCCTGATTACTAGACAATTGTTTTAATACAGTTTATTTGTATTTTCAAATTCCTATACATTTTATATATATATATATATAATATATAAATAAATTATAAAAAACAAAATACATAGAAAGTGACGTGGACAAAGGTGGACTTGTCTCTATAAGAGATCTCTTCCAGTCAACCCATGCATGTGGGAAATAGTGTTAAATTTTATGAAATGTAACGCTCTATAATACTGTGTAGTGTATATAATTCAAGAACACTTGTAGTAAGTCTAATTGAGTAAATTTCATTTCATTTATAATAGGTATGTATTTAAAGTTATATATGTGTAGTGTATTAACTGTCTGGTATCCATAACACAAGCCTCGTAGTTTTCCTTGGAACTAGATGGCGCTGTGTGTCAATGTCCCCACATATTTATTTAATATTGTTATTATTATTATTTCATTTATACCATTAATCAAACAAAATTAATTTAGAATAAAATTAAAAGTATGTTCTTAATTTACTAAAAGACATCTTATTAACTAGGCACATAGACAAGATTTCACGTTTTCTACAATCGTTTTAGTTTTAATTCAATTCAATTGTCTTCAAAGCGTGCTTGTTGAGCACAGATTTCTTCGCCATTGTCACGTAGAATGGAGAAGACACGAAGGAAATTGGTCAGTAATATAATATTATTATAGTACTTTATTCAACAATATTACAAAAGAAAATTGGGCCAGAGAGTAAACTAATTTTTGATCGACTTCAAAAAAGAGGAGGCAGTCAATTCGATTTGATTTTTTTTTTAATAATTTTTCGTCGTCAGAGGGTCTTAGAGTGATATTACTCAGTAGTATCATAAGTTTATCAGCAACTTTCATTCTACAGCACACATAGCAACAACAAAATTAAATTTGAAATTTATTGAAATTTCAGTAGATACCTACCTACGAGTATATAAATAGCAAAAATAGATATAAATGATAATCATTGCAGAAGTTGACTATGCAAATATTCGTTATTTTTCCAGCTGCCAAAAAAACTAATATTTACGGATTTAAAAAAAGTAACCTTTAATGCCGTTATCAATAATATTTATCACAGCAAATTTTGAGTAAATAAAACTTCAAGTCTGTTAAACACAAATAAAAAAATGGGTGGTTTTTTACATGTTTATTGTTTCTAAATCATTCTTCTTTATGAGATCCTTGTAGATATTTGTAAGGGGCCTGCCTCTTGTCTCCGGTATAACTAATAAGACGTATGCAGCCATCAAAAAGCAAACTATACCGAAAAAGTAGAATGCCACATGTATGCCAACTGAATTAGCAAGCGGTTTGAAGAACAGTAGTTCGAAAAAATCCGCTAGTGATGCAGCGGACATAGCAGCCGCCATAACTGATCCACGATACTGTAAATAATAAATGATGATAATGAGCTTTTATAGTAAATAATTCCTAATACAAATAATTTAAAAGAATCGATATTGTTTCATATTAATAGATACCAACTATCAAGTTTGTTGCACACAAAATGTAAAATTATTTTCTTGAAATGTATTTCCAGTTTTTGATAAAATAAAAGCTACACTGATCTAAAAACCATCCAAAAATGAATAATCAACCTTTAGAAGTTGATTTTTTAAAATTATATAGGTTACTATAAAAATAAAAAAGATCTACCCCTTAGTATTCGTTTCATTCGTTAAAAATTAAAATCGTAATTATTAAAGCATTTCAAATATTAAGGTTAAGGATTCTCTTCCCTCCAGCGGGGGAATGCAGCTCGCATTCCTTGACATGACTTGTACAGTAATGTTTATGCGTACACTACACACTGTACACACACACGTACTGTGTACATTTGTTAAAAATATACTTAACTATACTAAACTTAGTTAAGTATATTTTTAATTTCAATGTATTTCCTTTATTATATTTATTTTTACTGTAAATAAAAAAAAATACCTTAAAAGAGAATATCTCGCCCACCAACACATAGGACATGGGAGAAAGACCACAGGAATCGCAGAAGATACATATGCAAAGAGTCAATATTGGTACCCATGATGGTGCTAATATTCCATAATCACGTATCAAGAACCATGTAGCTAGTGTGCACATACTAAGTCCAGATATCAATGCTGAAGCTAAGAGAAGAGGCTGCAAATAAAAATAAGGGCTAATATTTATCTTTAATGTTGAGGAATCTGTTTAAGCACACAACCTGCATATAGAATATTATAGAACCCAAAGGAACCTCCCCCGTCTTAATGAGGCGTGGCAAGATCCACATCCGCGATGCCTCGATGGTTAGTCTGCCGAGGCAAAACACAACAACCGAATGGTTACTCCTACGGTCAAGTCTGGTATCAGGGAAGTGCCTACCAGGAGCAATTCACATACACCGCTTACCGGAGAGGGCCGCCTCTCAGTACGTTTTTTGACTTCGTGTCCGACTGGATTAGACGTTAATGACTGCGACAATATGTACACACATAGTGGGATTGGATAATATTAATAACTAGCCTAACAATAGCCTATGTTATTACATATCACAGTCTAATAAAGGTGCGTAAAAAAAGTGTTGAAATGTACACGTTACGATAGATGGTATGGGAGTTCCATGATATAATTTCAACATATTAGTATGCGTTTTCACATCTTACACCTGGGTAAGACTATGGTAGATCAAAAATTTGACTAATACTATAATTGCGGAAGGTTAAATGTGTGTGAGAGTTTATTAACAACGTAGTACTTAGTAGCATTATTATTCCCATTTTAAATTTTCTTCGATATACGTACCTTTCGGCCCGATATGTCTATGACACCTGACACAAGGATTGAACCAACAACTTGAACACCACCCAGCATCATAGCCTGTTGATTTGGACTAAGTATTAAAGCTTTGTCCTTTGAAGCTAATGTGAAGATCTCTCCAGCAAATGTCTGAAGAGGTACTGCGCCACCAAATTCTCTGGATAATGTTACTATCATCGAAATTTGAAAGGCTCTACATAGAATTTTGTCGGTAACTAAAAAAATAACATACATAAACATAATTGTGATGAGAAATATACTTGCAAAAAAAATTTTCCCCCTAAATATTGAATTAAACAAGGCTGAATTTATAAAAAACTATCCTTGATTTAAGAATGTCAACATAATATCTAAAACTACAATTGTTGTGTTGCATCAATAAGATCGTTCGTCTGGACTCAAAGAATGACGACGTTAAATAACCCTTCAACGGTATTGTTGCCTCTTACTGAAGAGTTGTTGAAGCCCTATTAATCTTTTTGATAATTATTATGATATTAATAATATTGCGGGGCGCAGACAAATCCAACAAATCAAAGATGTTAAAAATAGGTCCACCCGTTCATATATATATATATATATATATATATATATATATATATATATATATATGGTGTAACTATATAGAGTTATATTGTTCGCCCAGTGGTCAATATTCGACTATAATAGCAAACAGAGGAGTAAAAGGTACTGAGCTGTTTTGTCTTTGCCTATTTATATAGAGACAACAAAAACATATCTATCCCACGGGGACCGTACATTTTCCGGGATAAAAAGTAGCTTATGTGTTATTCTGAGGTAGGAGCTATATTATTAAAAAGTTTCATTAAAATCAATTGAGTAGTTTTTGCGTGAAAGAGTAACGAACATCCAGACATACATACATCCTCACAAAGTTTCGCATTTATAATATTAGTAAGGATTGTTTATATTAGTGCGATGAACAGACTTAGCGCGCAGAGCAGCATTCTTACAGGGAGAGACGTTACTTATCACTTTATTGTAAAGGATTAAATATCTTATTACAATAAAATAAAATAAATACGGGTGTATACTATAATTAGACATCTATACAAATAAATAAAATGAAAGTGTATGTAATGTCAAAATAACAGCTTTTTACTAAATGCATATGAAATTATAAGAAAAAAACTTTTTTTATTTTTGTATGCCTGACGGTATGTCTGTTTGTTCCGGGTCCGGATCTCCGAAACGGCTGGACCGATTTTGAAGGAAATTTTATTGACATATAGTTGATGTTATAAGGAGTAACTTAGGCTACTTTTATTTTGAAACAAGAATTAGGGTTCCGCGCATAAAAACTAAAATCCATGAAATTGTGAACAAAATCTACGATCGTAACCTAGTTTTGAATAAAACATATAATATAGTTGAGAATGCAGCTGACAATAACATAGCCATATTAAAAGTTAATGAAGTTAGAAAAGTAGCCTTACAGATTGTTTTTAATAAGAATTGATTATCTTCTTCATCTTTTTGTTGTTGGTTTGTTAATAGAGTCAATTCTTCTGTAATTTCTGGATCTGTTATTGGCTTACATCGAAGCCAGGCGATAGCCTTTGTTGCACCCTGAAGTAAAAATAATAAAACTTAATAATTAGAACAAGCTACCCAGCATCAGAATATATTTCTTGTTTAATTGCTTCGGTGGTGTAGCGGCTAGCATGTACGGTTGCACACCCGGAGGTCCTAGGTTCTTCATTGGAGTTGGGAAGTTGGCGGTGTTTCATCCCCGTGCCTTGGAGAGCACGTAAAGCCGTCGGTCCTGCGCCTTAACTCTCACTGGTCATGTCGAGCAGTCGTCCCACCGGAGTATGACAGTGACAGGAATAGAGAGTGCACGTTGTGTCTGCGCGTACACTTGTGCACTATAATATCTCCTGCACAGTTGGCTAGTTTCAATGAAATGGGCGCCGTAGCCGGTATCGGCCAGGAGAACATCATCATCATCATATTTCTTGTTATTTTAAACACAAGAAAAATTAAAAAAACAAAGTAAGATTCTAATAATTCTGTCCAATTTTCCAAATTATGGCAATTTTTTAATTTGATTTAGCAATTTGAATCTTTAAATAAGAAGAAACAAATATTTCAATTTTTACATACCTCAATATTGCCTTTCTTTACGAGATATGAAGGTGAATCGGGCATGAACAGGAACAAAATCATATGTAAGACTGGTACTGATAGACAAATCCAGAGAATCTTGTCGTAATCCAACAAATCTCCAACTACGTAAAGGAATAGACTTCCTATAGTTTGAAATAGTGTTATCTAGAAAATAAACAAAAATTAATCAAGCGCGAATTCAACTGATATGAAAAAGGTCCCATATATTATGAGTAGAAGTCATATATTAGTGGAACTTACTTTACTCTATAACTATACATATATAATAATTCAATTATCTGTATAGTCCTAAAACTTGCAAGTTAAATACACTAAGCTATTTATTGTTAAAATATCATTAACAATACACACTTACACAATAGAAATTTCTTAATCTAACTACTATATATTATACTAACTGCCTCGTCTACACACTTGTAGGTCTTGGGTTTAAGTCCCGGGTCGGGCCAAGTTAGTTACTGAGTTTTCTGTGAAGTAATTCTTAGTAACAGCTCGGGCAAAGTATTTAATCTCGTTCTGGAAAGCACGTAAAGCCATTCCTGATTTCTCAAAGATCGTATAGAGTTATCATCCCACTGGATTAACAGAGTTGAAGGAATACAGAGTTCACTTTTTTATGATTATGCTCTATAATATTTTCTGAGCACAAATCATTCAGATGAACATTACTATAAATGCGAAAATTTGTATGGGTGTATGCGTGGGTTTGTTTGTTACTTCGTCACGTTGAAACGACTTGATGGATTTAGATGAAATTTAGTTGACAAATAAATTTATTCCTGGAGTAACACATAGCATTTTTCTTATATTTTTTCTTTCTTTCTTTACTGGAAAGTAATCTAAGTAAATCACAGAAGCAATAATACTCACCAAACATCCTAGAGTTCCTCGAATACTATCATCACTTATTTCCTTAGTATATGTAGTACACGTGACATAAGCTCCTGACATTGTGATACCGACAAGTGATCTCGATAAAATCAGTGCCCAAGTGTTGAAGGAACTGAGCAGTAGAATCCAACTGACCTTTAATGAGGGTTGGTAATGAAAAACACTGTTTTAAATGTAGATACAGAAAAGTTACTATAAGTTGAACAGACAATATCCTATCCTTTCAATTTGTTTCTGATCTTAGAGTTCATACAAAAATCCTATAGAATATTCCAGTTTTACAACTTTTATATAATAAATAGGTGATAAATTGCATAATATGATACTATTTGAACTCACGGTTAGAAAATAATAGAAAATGGTCTTTGACCACATCATTTTCCACTATTATCTTGTAAGATAATAGTGGAAAATGATGTGAACAATGTTTATTGATATATAAGTTTATATCATGATTGAATATATCATGATTTATTTATTTATAAGATGATTCATTTGTTATATATAAGATTACGTTTTGATCTTACTTTATTGTCATTAGGTACTTACTACTCGTAGTACAATGTGAATCTATTTAATATATAAAACAAAGTTTGGTTAGTTACACTATTTATAACTCAAGAACGGCTGGACCGATTTTATTGATCTTTAATTTGTTGGATTTATCTCCGCCGCGAGTAGCAGACTAATTATTAAATAATTGGAAAAATACACAAAAAAGGCACTACATAGGTAAGTCGCTAGTTTAAAATAAAATATAAGACTTACACATCCAGAAGCAGATATTAGGAGTAGGGTTAACTTTCGGCCCACTTTGTCAGCTAGGATTGCTACCAAAAAGTTAAATGGAATGCAGAATAGATAAGGAACAGCTGCCATCCATGACACCTAGAATTAAATAAACTATTGTAAATCATTAATGATCTTATTTTACCAACCAATCTTCTTCGTGTCTTCTCCATTCTACGTGACATTGGCGAAGTAATCTGTGCTCAAGTGGCACGCTATGAAGCCAATAACAATAAAATTTAATTGAGTTGATTTGTAAATCATTAAGGAGGAGAAAAACAGTCTAGAACAGTGAATATTTGACTTTGTGATTTAGCAGGCATCAGTCAGCCACTATTTTTCGATATGACTTCAGACATGACTTGTACAGAAGTTATTAAGTGTCATTGCTTTTATTGGTGACAGCATAGCTAGCTCGTTTTCTAAAGAATTTCCATTTTCATTCCGCGGGAGAATGTAGCTAGCATTCTTGCCACAATTCCACGCGAACTGATGCTCGGGGTACATTTGTTTCCTACGTACTCGTATAATTAAATATATTTGTAATTTCTATGTATTTTCTTTTCTTGTTAATAAAAAAAGGCAGTGGTAGCCCAGTGGTAACGCGCTCGCTTGGGAAACCGAGTGAAGCGGGTTCAAATCCCGGGTCTCGCACTTCTGATATTTTCATGTGCGAATCATTTCTAACATGATTACCACTTGCCTTACGGTGAAGTAAAACATCGTGAGGAAACCTGCATGTCTGAGAGAACCTAGCAAATTTTCGAAAGACAAGTGAAGTCCGCCAACCCGCACTTGGCCAGCGTGGTGGACTATGGCCTGATCCCCCTCGTATGTAAGGCTGGCCCGTGCCCAGAAGTGGGACGTTAAAAAGGGCTGAATACAAAAAAAATATATTGTTATATTTATGTAAAAATGAATCTTGATATGTATGTTTATATCTATAGATGCCCGCTCATATGAAGAGATGAACAAAATTTGCCTGAAATCGTCTATAGAGAAATAACTTATTAATGTTAAATTATAAGTATATTCTTCAAGTTGCTTTCTTACAACAACATTCTTAATCATATGTACATATCTATAACTATAGTTTTTGAACTACTTCTCTCTAATTTCCTTGAAGTTTTTGCCTTTCGTTTAAAGTAATATACTGTAGGTAGTTCAGATTTGGTTTTCACCTTAAAATAACTAGGTTAATAAAAATATTATAATAATTTATATAAAGCTAATGACCTAGTGATCTAGTCTATACTATAAGTACCTCAGCATCTGTGAGAGGAATCCTTCTTGGTGAATCTTCAGATTGTAGTAGTAACATCATCGGAGACATCCATCCTATGCTGGCGCCGTAAGCCAAAACAGGCAAGTTTACTACAAGAAAAAAAATTATTTTACCATATAACTCATTTTTCGGCTGGGTTGTAATTGCTCATGGAATTTCCATGGGTTACCCTGTTAAAATTCTACGGTCCAGTATAATTCATTTTATATAATAGCCTTTTATAGGCTGTCTAATGTTTCGCTTCGACCTACCGAATTTATGTTAGACTATGCGTGATTCTATCCGTCCCTGTTAGCGTGCGTGCGTGCGTGCATGCGACCGTGCGTACATAAGTGCATGCGTAAATGCGTGCGTGTGTGGTGTATTTGTGTGCACTCTTGTAAAGCACCTTGGTCCGCACCCGAGCGAAACTCTGGTAAGACGTTGGTATGATTACAATTAGTGACTTTCACTATAAAATCTCAAATATTTTAACTCACTTAAAACAGCACATATTATTTGATTTATCTTGCTTCCTTTACTGAATACGCCGTAAAATTTCATTTTTTACTTCACTCTTAACATAATATATGTATAAAATATATTTTTTTATTTTACTGTAACAATTCCAGTTTTTGTCTTATGGTTAGGAGTTATGAAGGCACTGAATTTTCTCACATTTCCTTGATATTGAATTTATAAATTCTAATAAGGGTTTCTGGCTATTATCACTTCGCATCTGAGCAAATAAACCATACACTGACACAACATCGAAATATCCATTTTACGCAGCACTCAAAGTATTTTGTACTAAATTGTCCACTTCATTTATTTAACAAAATTGAAAAAATATATAATTAAATGTAACTTATTTCCAATAGAAATGTTTGAGTAATTTATAAAACATGTATGACCTCCGATAGTTCTTTATAGCATTGAAGTAATTTGTTTATATTATAGTGAAGTTGTTAACATTGTAATGACTTTCACAACGAAGGTTCCGCAGCATGAAATATAAATATATAAATATAATATATAAATGTGTTGGGATATTAACACACAGCACCATCTAGTACCATGGTAAGCTACGAGACTTGTGTTATGGATACCAGATAGTTGATACACTACGCATATATAACTGTAAATACATACATATTATAAATATAAACACCCATGACTGGAGTACAAAACATTCGTGCTTATCACACAAATGAATGCCTCCTGCGGGATTTGAACCCGCGACCGCTGGCACAGCAAGTAATGTCACTACAAACAGAGCCAAACGTGTCGTCAATGTAAAATTTATGCTACGTTTTAACAAATTGTTGTTGTAATTTATTCATCTACAATATTCATTTTCCGACTGCAAAAATAAATTTCTATTTCATAGCGTTTTTATGAGTAAGAATTTTAGTTGATAGTATTTTAGAAGCTCTTACTTATTCTTTTTCTAAATTTTCCAGCTTTTTCTAGTAATTTGTCTAGTAACATGTATGGAATAACATCTCAATTTTTGATATTTAATAACTTGACTGCAAAATTGTTTAACTGTTCACATGAGACGCCTATCAGGTATAATACTTCATAATCTCCGAGTAAAACGACTGTGATATACGAACAGATGAGCAGACGGAGAGACGGCTCCGTTTTTGCCATATTTCTACGGAACCGTACATACAATATTCATTGCTTCTTCAAATACAGTGGTAAATAAGTACAAAAAAGATATAAAAGAATAAGGACAAACTGATAACGTCATACGTCTTGAAACGGTAAAAATTTTAATTGGCAAAACATATACATTATATATACATATGTACATCAAAGACTGTAGAATTTAACCATACAGCATGTATGATAAAACTCTACAGTATATATTAAACTTGGCAGATGATCAATGACAATTAAATTTAATAATACACTACTAAGCAAAGTAGTACCTATATTATATTCCGTCACAGAATAATTTGCAAATGCAAAAATATTAATGTCGATGCTTACTAACGATTCCTACTTTAAAAGAAGTGTCTAAATTAGTTTTACGCGAATATGTAATATTTAAATGAAACAATTTTATTTTGATCTATTGCTTCCGCCGTTTTTTTTATGTTGGGACATTAATACATAGCACCATCTAGTTCCATGGTAAGCTATGAGGCTTGTGTTATGGATACCAGATAGTTGATACCCATATATAACTATAAATACATAAATATTATAAATATAATTTATAAATACACATAACTGGAGTACAAACATTCGTGCTCATCACACAAATAAATGCCCCCAGCGGGACTCGAACCCACGACCGCTGGCATTGCAAGTAGGGTCACTGCAAACTGAGCCAGACGTGTCGTCGAACCGTTACTATGATTTATACATAATACTAGCAGAACCCGCGGTTTCGCTCGACTTTGCTCGGCTCGCCCTAAAACTACAAAAAACTACTTATTTAATTGTATTGAACAGCATCCATACCAAGTTTCAAGTACCTAATTCTGATCATAAATATTTTTTTGGGTTATAGTATAACGTGTTTTCGCGTGGGAATGAGAAAATCTACTGCGGTAAAAAGTAACCTATGTCACTCTCCAGCCCTCAAACTATCTCCACACAAAAAATCTGCCTAATTCGTCACTTTGTTTCGACGTGCCAGAAGAACAAACAAACAAACAAACACACTTTAACATTTATAATATGAGTATGGATAATATTATACAGCACACATAATACTCGTACTATACTAGCGAATTTGCTCTCGCTTCGCGTGAGTCGTCGCCGTACAAATTATATGTTACCAGTTACCATCATCCAATACGCAGTAACTTATGTATGTATATATTTAATAGTATAGAGTAAAGACTAACTTTGTCATTTGTTTCTCCTAAGAATAACTGTTAAAATAAAAATTTAATAATCCCCCAACAAAATAGCCTTTTCTTTGAGGCTATTTAAACGGGTTCAAACACGATATCTCTGCAGTGTGTTAGTAAAGAGTTGATTATCTTGCAGATTCTAGGTGACGCTGCAGCATCAGGAGGAGGTTACCATATCCTTGTAATGTCATTGAATTAACGGTGTACCAAGTTTCAAATCATTAGATCTTTTGAAGTTGTTCATAATTCTTTTACCGTCTAGAAAAGAGTTAATAGCCTGCTAACGACTGAACGCGTTTTCTTGATTTATCGCTAAGAACACTCAATCAAATCACCTTTCAAACAAACAAAACTAAAAAGAACTGAATTAAAATCGGTTCACCCGTTTGGGCGCTACGATGCCACTTACAGATACACACGTTAAACTTATATCTATTTTTGCATCGTGAGTTAAAAATATGTAAAAAGACATTAATATTTTTTAAACTACTTTCGTATCGGGCAATAATTCAAAAGAATAAAATAATTCATATGAAAATTATTTTTTTAATACTGCCAAGTGCCAACAAATTTATTTTTTAACAAGGTTATCGCGTTTATATTTATCAATTTTATAGCATGCTATTCGTGTATAATACAATAATAAAAAGCGGAACACGCGTGCATAAATTGTATTATTTAGTGTGACATTGCATTTACCAAGTTATCAGAGTCATCTACAGTCTACTATAATAACACACTTCATCCGTATACGTAACGTCGCGCGTCGATTATAGTCATCGAGCGTCCCTAGTAGTAAGAGATCCCGATCTATGTGGTGGACCCCTCACTCTTTTTCCAGGCGAAATATATGTTATAAACAATAAAACATATTAACAAACATGACCCAGGGGGCTGTCACCGTCAGGTTGGCCGTCCAGTGGTCTGGCTGAAGAGGCCGTCAGGGGTGGTCGAAGATCTCAGCCCCTGACATTGGGACGGGCCTTAGCAGGTACTCGCCGTCAGGGTCACGGAAGAGTCTTTTTGCTACCCGTGGCCCCGGCCTTAAGGCAAAGGAGGTGCTTTGTCAGGTTTTTAGTGGGTAGGCTGCCGCGCGTTTACCATCTTTGCGCGGCCACATAACCCGTCTCGCATCTCCCATTGGCGAGCGGGTACCCGGGAACAGGGATTTTTCCTGACAGAAAAAAAAGAAAAAAGGGGGTTGTCACTAAAAATTTGCCCCAGGCTATTTTTTTTTAAAGTACAAGAACTCTTTTCCTGTGACAACTTAATATCAGTCGAAAGTAAAAGACTTGTAGAAAATGCCAGCATACGGTTGGAGGCCTTTTTCGAACCCACATTACCTGACATCCAGGTAAAGGTAAATTAGTTAATTGCTTGGATCGTATTTTCCGGAACCAATCAAGTCTCAAAATGTACATAATTTTATAACAAATTTAATTATATGGTGTTTTTAAACCAAAACAACTCTAGACTAGACCAGGTTTTTTAAGTAAAAATAGCCTGAAACAAATTTTTGGTCAAAGTCCCCTGGGTCGTGTTTGTTAATATGTTTTATTGTTTAAAACATTTATTTCGCCGTACTTTCGTAATAATATACTAAACAAGCAAATCGGTAAGGTTACGGGACACCAAACAAATGGGATTCATGGCGCGATACAATCGTTATACAGCCTAAATGTGTGCATTAGCACTGCCACAACACAATTCCCCGCTTTTTTTTAAAAAATGTCATATCTAAATCCTAAAATAATTTTAAATTATACATATAACATATCATAAAATAATTATTGATACATATAACTTGTACCGTTCGCTAGAAAAAAATTGTTGATACAGCATTACAGTACATAACTTAGTAATTCTATTGCAATGTAATATATTGCACAATGTGCTTATGTTTTAAACTTATGTTTACTTAAAAAAAACAATGATTATGCTATTCATCAATATCAAACATTTTTTTAAATCAATAATAATACTATACATACTAGTATTGCCCGCGGCTCCGCCCTGGTTCAGATGACCAAAAACCAAATTCTTAGGTTATACGTATTAGTGTACTCTTACATTGCAGTTTTTCTATTTTTTCTCAGAAACGAGACATTTTCCCGTGGTAGAAAGTATCCTATATGTTGACCCGGATTACCAGCTATCACCATACCAAATTTCATCAAAATCCCTCCAGTGGCTTTTCTGTGATGCGGTAACATACAGACAGACAGACAAAAATTCTAAAAACTATAGATTCGGCCTCTGTATCGATAATAATGTCTATTTCAATAAGATTTTCTAAAAAATATTTAATTTACAGATTCGGCTTATTTAGAATTTTAGTATATGTATAGATACAATAATAATATTACTATACATATTATGTTAACCAAAAATTGTATTCAACCATTACTAAATACAATACAAAGTATTTTTTTAGCGGACGATAAAATTAATATTGAGCTTATCTATATTTAATTTAGTAATTAAAAGTAAAACAACGCAAATTTGGTAATTCGCAGTTTGGAGCCCCGTTACACGAGTCAGACTCACACGTATCCGGTTTTATTTTTTGAAGTGAAAACTTCTATAGGCGGGTTTGGATGGGGAGTAAATTCATGTAAGTCGTCATCGACATGGTCACGTGACGTGTTAACGCTAACACTCAGAGTGCCGATAGATGTCAAAACCAGA